CATGATAAAGAGTCGCTTTGAGGTATCGCAATAACCGTTTAGCTGCTGTCCAATGTGTCACCGTTGGTCTATGCATAAATTGAGCAAGGCGAGAAATCGGGAAAGCAATGTCAGGTCTCGTAAGAGATAGATATTGAAGTGAACCAATAATTCGACGATACTCCGTGCAATCAACAGAGGTTGTGCCATCATCCAGGCGGAGAACATCAGAGGTAGACATTGGGGGTCAAAATCTCTTTCGTATTGTCAAGGCCTGTTTTAGAGAGTAATTCCCTAATATACTTATGCTGAGATAAAAATATACCGTCTGTGGTGGGGATAACTTCAACACCCAAAAAGAAACTTAATGGGCCAAGATCTTTGAGAGAAAAGGCCTTGCCCAAAGAAGTGACAACCTGCTGGATAAAAGTGCTGGAATTTCCTGTGAGAATGAGATCATCCACATAAATGAGAAAATATGCAGTTAGATCATCCATATGATATATAAATAAGGAGGGGTCGGCTTTAGATTGAGAAAACCCCATTTTTGTGAGACAATCACTTAATGCATGATACCAAGCCCGTGGGGCTTGTTTGAGTCCATAGAGAGAGCGATGAAGCTTGCATATATGATGAGGTGCATTGAGGTCAACAAAACCAGCTGGTTGTGCCATGTAAACTTCCTCAGTCAAAGTGCCCTGGAGAAATGCATTGTTGACATCTAGTTGATGAAGAGGCCAACCCCTAGACACGGCAAGAGTAAGTATCGCGCAGATTGTAGCTGGTTTGACTATAGGAGAAAAAGTTTCTTTATAATCCAAGCCAGGTCGTTGGTGGAACCCTTTAGCCACTAATCTGGGCTTATAACGATCAATATTGCCATCTGGTTTTCGCTTGATGCGATACACCCATTTGCAACCAATGGGATTATGATGAGGAAGTTTCTCGACAAGGGTCCAAGTTCCATGTTTCAATAGGGAAGTGAATTCCTCACTCATAGCCTGGCGCCAAAGAGGATCCTTCATGGCCTGTGATACACAAGTGGGCTCAAGAGCAGGTGGCAGTGAATGTTTAGACACTTGGCATATCTGCTTGGGTCGGTAGATATTATTCATGGCTCGTGTAATCATGCCATGAGTACGGACCGGTGCAGCAGGTTCTGATGGGCCAGATGTAGCACTTAGGTTACTATCCAGAGAAGTGGCTAATGTAGTCTGCGAAGGACTCGGATCCAAGGGCTGCTGCTGAGAGTGATGTGAACGAGTTGGGTTTGAGCAGGACTCAACAACAGGATTAGAGGATAGGTTGGGCATATCTATTGGAATAATAGATAGGTGAGGCGAGACCACAGTGGGTGGACTCATGTGGATAGGCTCAGAATGTGGCTTTAGGCAGAGAGAGGGAAATTCATTTTCGTTGAATTGTACATGGCGGGAAAGATAAAGT